ATTATTATGTGTTACACACTGTTCGAGTCTTTCAGTCCATTCACGATTTTCCTTCCTTCAGAGACTCCGAGCGGCGAGCGGCAACGGCGAGGTAGCTTCCGGTAATGATGGTTGAACCTGAACATTAATTTTGGTTTATTGAGTATGAATTTCTGATAATTTGATCTTGATTTTTGAAATTTGATCGGTGAAGTCTGAATCCTTTGATGTTAATGGATGCCTTGTATTGATGAATGGACTTGGACTTGGTTAATGTGTATTGTTAATGGTGCCTTCTCCTAATTAAATGACTAATGTGATGAAGTCTGAATCCTTTGATGTCAACCGTCGGTTGGTGTCCGTCCACCATGTCCGACCAAAGCATATGCCTGTCTGTTTATGAGGTGAATAGTTTTTCGCTTATGAACGTCCTACCATGTTTATGATGGGCATTTCTCTTCTATAGCGAGCATTTTCTCTTTGTTGGGTCAATTCTGAAATTATGCACAAACTTCATAAAAGACTGATTTCCTTATGTCTCAACACCGGTTAGCTTCGGTTGTTGCATTATTCCTCCTCAGAGGAAGATTGTAAAAGTCTATGGCTATGTTTAGTGTGTTAAGCAGTTTAGGACTAGAAGGTGAATTAGTAGATTTTCTTTTCAAGTGGTTTCCTGATTTTATTGCATTTCCTATTGGATTATCACAAGTTACATAAATTACATGTTTGAATTAGAGATGCTGTGAAGGTGCTTGATAAATATCACTGAGAAAATGTGTTTCCATTTGTTCTTCTTGGACCAGAGATGAAATTTTACAAATACCCTTTTAGCTATAATCAAACTCAATTGGATCAGATAGTTTGAACAAGCTCGATTAAGTGAATTAACCAAAACTGAAACAACTCGAACTTTATAAACAATTCCTGCTGGAATGATAAATAACTGAACTCGAACAGTGTTCGAGTCTAGTAGAAATCGTGCTCGAAAACCCCAGGTCTCAGTTCGATTACACCCCTTGTTTTACAGTTGCACGTAAAAGTCTACACAAATTCTAGATGCTCCTCATAAGCTGGTTGGTTAATCAGTAGACTTTGGTAAAATCTAAGTAGACTTTCTGTCAATGCCCGATTAAGCTACTCCTTCCATATAAACTCAAGTTTTTCCTATAATTTTGTTCTTTTAGAGAATTTCTAAGAATGAAATATTCAACTCAAACATATCTCCAGTGCTTTCCTTGTAAATTGTGTTAACTAGTTTACGATGACCTTTTTTTTTTTCACAAATTCATTTTTATTCATCATAGATCCTCACTAAAAGCATATATCACATTCTGTTACATGTCTTGGTAATAGTTTAGCACTCCAGAACCTTCCTTGACAAATATGCCCCCCAAAACTGCCCAGATCCGCCTCGTCAGCTCCCACCCCGAAGTCTACGAACCATGTGACGACTCCTTCGCCCTTGTCGATGCCCTCCTTGCTGACCGGGCCCACCTCCTAAAACACCGGCCTTCGATTTGCATGGAGATAGGGTGTGGCAGCGGGTACGTGATCACTTCCCTTTCCCTCCTCCTCAGGGAATCTGACGTGGCACCCTATTACATTGCCACCGATATAAACCCACACGCGGCCCGTGTAACCCTCCAAACCCTAGAATCTCACGGATGCCAAGCAGAGGTCATAAACACAGATATCGCGTTCGGTCTTGAAAGCCGTTTGCACAAATCGGTGGACTTGATAGTCGTGAACCCGCCATATGTGCCGACTCCAGAGGAAGAGGTGGGGTCCGGTGGAATAGCCGCTGCCTGGGCCGGAGGAGAGAATGGCCGGAAAGTTATTGACCGGATATTGCCGGTGGCCGACGGGCTTCTTTCGGATAAGGGATGGTTGTATTTGTTGGTGTTGAGTGCAAATGATCCATTGGAGTTGTGTCTTGAAATGAGAAAGAAAGGGTATGCATCGAGAATAGTGCTGCAGAGGTCAACGGAGGAGGAGAGCTTGCACATTATTAAGTTCTGGAGGGACCCGGAAGTTCTGATTGAGGCGAACGAGTGTGTGGAGATGAGGAGAAGAGAAGATGGGATCGTGGTGGATTTTTCGCACTTTAGCCCGTTTTCAGTTTGGAGGAACCGGATTCGAGATTCTTAAGTTGTGCGCGTAGGGGATTTGTCGGTTTTAAGGTAATTTATTATTTTCTCGTGTTTTTTTTTTTTNGCGTTTCCCATCGAGTAATTGAGAATCATGAGTATTTTGCTTTTCTATTCATGTGTTGTGATTCTTGATTGTCATTATTTCGGATATTATGATATGGAAATGGAGAATTTGTGGTCAGTAGCATCCTCTGGTTGTTGTGATTGACAGTTAAAAAAAAATATGTAAATGGAATGAGGATGATGTTGATCAGATGTAGGAATTGCATAAATGCACTATAGCTAATGTGTGAGAAAATGGACTGTGACTTTATCACATTTAGAAAAGCTTTATACTTTGTGAAAAATGTTCGACTGTGATTTTGCAGTTCTATTTGTATGTGTGTCTGTTTGTCCATTGCCAATGGAGCTGGAAGAGTCATTGTTGACAATTCTCCTGGCATAGTGCTAATATGGACTAGATCAAAAGGGCTCAATTAAATTCTAGTGCTTCTTCTATTAGTGAAGTTTCTAGAAAAAAAAAATATATCAAACGGCGCAATGCACCTTGGGTCGCTACGGAAACAGCCTCCTTGTATAATTACAATGGTAAGGTCTGCGTACAACTGACCCCCCAGACCCCAACCTGTTGGGAATGTACTGGGTATGTTGTTGTTGTTGTTGTTGTTTATTTGTATGTGTGTCTGTCTCAGTTCATGGTAAAAAAAAAAAACTTGATGGAAATTCATGGCGTCTCGCGTCTCAGTTAAGCAGAAAAACTGAGTATCATTTGAAATTAACTTATCATGTTGCTTTAAGAATTTTTGCTTTCTTAGCCATGTGTTGAACTAATGCGTATCTGAGGAAGTTGATGAATATTGGATCCACATATGAAACTTTCGTCCCGTATATATTTGGAAGATTTTGTTAAATTCCAGAAAAGAATAATCAACTTTGCTCCTATCCTTCGAAACCATATCTTAGGATCGCATGTGGTTGTGGCTTTCAACATGCCACATGCATTCTAGTTAGCAAAGTACAAAGTACAAAACAGTTTAGACACATTATAGTTTCTATAGAGCTGAACCAGGCAATTATTGGACAAAGGGGAATACATAGTAATGAAAGGAATGGAAAAACCATGCACAAGAAGATAGACAAATAAGTTAGGTCCCTTTACCCTTGTTTCATTTAGATCCCAGCTAAGGGACCCTTACAAAAATTGTTGAAGAAATTGTCGAGAAAAAGAATGTAAGGTAACATGCTTCATGACTAAATCAAGCAGACAGATGTCACAATAACAACTAATTCTTGGCATGGTCCTAATGATTTTGTAAAGTAATTGGCTGTTAAACTTAAACCTAGTACAGAAAGAATGCCTGGTTTCAGATAGAAACAAAGGAGGAAATGTAAATTAGTTAAAAATTGGTATAATATGCAACTGCTGAAGTACCTTTAACAGCAGCAGCACATGCAAAAGTGACAACCTTTTTAGAGTACCATAATAACAATTCTGATTTGTTAAAGCACCGAGGGAAAATTGTTTCTAATATGACCCTCACTTTTAATTGGTGCATACTCACCAACACTGCATAGTAACACATTCTTAAAAACCTAAATACTACCCCTTTGAATTATGTAAAAAGGTACATGATTTGAATTTTTCCCTAGCCTTATGCATTGCTATTTTTTTAACATCTCTGAGTTTGATGTTTTATGTTTTTGAACACCTCTCAATTTGTGTTTTATGCCAATCCTTGCCTGGGTGTCAGTTGCAGCCATCATGGCGACCCACCGGTTCGAAAATTGTAATTTTAATTTTTTTTTTAATTTAAAAAAAAATGGGTGCCAACTGCGGCGGGCCTGAATGAATTCGGGCCGAGCCTGAACCAACCAAATAAAGGAATAAAAAATGTAGGATTGAGCCAGGCGGGTTGCACATGTCCGGACCACTGGGATTATGGGCCGACCTGGCCCAATGGACCATGGGTGTGCCACCATCTGCAGCCTGTAGTATAAAAATAAAAATAGAAAATTTTAAGATAAAATTATCACGGGAAGATCTTTAATTAAGTAATTAATTTATTTTTATCTTTCCTTTTTATATACTATTGATTGATGGGATAAAAATTCAGAACCAGGAATCTACCAATCTTGCTACTGCACTAATCAATCTCGAGCTCATGGCTCACTCTCTGTTTTTGTACCTGGAATTTACTCAAGGTTTTTCAGATCGAATTCGAAAGAGCTACTGGTTCATTAGACTAGTGATTGGCCTATATTTATTTATTATTATTTTTAAATGTTTTATAGAACTATAATAGTAGAGTTTCTGTTCATGTGGGTGGCAGTCCCCGGGTGTCGTTGTGGAGTGTTTTATTTGCTGGTGTGGAGGGTGTTATTATAGTATTGTTAGTGTTCAATGTTTTGAGTAGTGTGTTGTTTGTTGTATTATTCTTCTTAAAAGAAGCTTAAATTATCCACTTGNTTTTTTTTTTTTTTCAAACGATAAATATATTAATAACTAAAAAACTCAACCGAGTACAATAGGAGTGCCAACTGACACACAGGACCCAGAAAAACTGGACCTACCCTCTTGAAAGCACATCTGTGTCCGAGAGGTACAACCTCCATTAATGAGTCACCCGCACACACAAAAGACCCACCTCCATAAAGGAGACTAGAACTCCATAAAGGAGACTGGATGCCAGACGCAGCTGGACTTCTACGCACTACAAAAATAAAAGAGGAAAAACACATATCTAATGTAAAAATAAACTAGTACCTCCCCTACGCCTAACAGACTCGATGCCTAACCACCCGGGACCACACACGATCCACATCCACTAGCAAAGATATCCAACAAAACCACAAACCAGAACCTCAATCCCGAAAACTGCGGCTACTCGTGCCGCCTAGACGGATCTGAAGAAGAGACTGCTATCGGTTTAGATCTGAACTTCCGAAGAACATCCACGCTTGGGGGAAGAGAGGAAGCCGCTGATGACACCAACACGCCTCGCCGGAGTACTCGAAAGATGGATCGAATTGGACGGCAAGCCACACCAAAGGACCCAAAACATGAACAACAAGACTCTCGGCGGAACAATGGTCGGTACCTCCTCGATGCTGGGGCCTGAACTCTTGCTGCCGGCGGTCTCGTCCATGGCCGGGGATGGCTAGGTGGCGAAGCAACTCGGACCCAGCGGGGGCGAGAGCTCTCCAACCCAACCTCCCACAAAGCCCGGAGGAGACGGAAATGTCCTCAGCCCCTAATAGACGAGCTCCAATTCCAGTGGCGCAGCGGCGAACTTGAAGGTGTAGGAGGGGCGGCGATTTTGACGAAGAGGGTTTCTTGAGATTGGGTTTTTTTCAGAGGAGAGAAGGCAGTAGTTATTTGAACAGAGAATTGGGTTGTATAATTTGTTGTATTGTGGGTGCACTAAGTGATTTCTTCTGGCCTACCTTTACCGCTTCGTATAGTCGATTCTAAGTTACCTTTGTGTAGACCTCCCACTAGATTCAGTTGGGTGGCTGTTTGATTATTTCTAGTTGTTTAATTGTAATATGTGTTTTTTTTTTCTTATAAAATTTGTTGTTCCGACCAAAAAAAAAAAGAACTATAATAATACAATTTATATGGGAAACCATCATTAATAAAAATTAGACATGGTCACGGGTCAACCAGCCCGGACCCTACCCGGTCAAACCCGTTGACAACGGGTCCGGGACCGGACCGGATTTCAGACGGGCCGTTTAAGGGTCATCAAATTTCATGACCCGACCCTGTGGGCCCGGGCTGGGCCGGGTCTCTGACCCTCCTTATCTATTTTTTTTTTATTTTTTTCTATTATTTTTTAAAAAAATCACGGAACCGGCACGAGTATAGGTCCGTGCTGGTTCAGGATCAGTGTTTTCGAGCCTGGCGACCCTCGGGCCGGGCCGTAACCCGGCCCGGGTTTTGGCCATGTCTAATAAAAATTAGTGTTTAATTCATCCAAAAAAATTTAATCATTTTAACTCAACCATTTTTTTAACTCAACATTAACTCTACACCACTATCATCAATATTATCAATATAATTAAATAATATCAATCAATCATTCTTACACACCACATCAACCTTAATTTACTATTCATCAACTCACATAATTTTAACTAACAATTACATCACATCTTCTCTCTCCTACTTTTACTTCAAATTAATTTTAATTATTTTATTTTAAATATTATTTTAATATATCAACTAACAACTAATCATACCAGCTTTTTCGAATTTAACCAACTCAAACCAAAACATCCAATCAAAACCAAAACTTTTCATATCCAAGCATCCTCATAAATATTTGAAATAGGTAATATTACAAAACCAGAACTTTTTATATCCAAGCATCCTCATAAATATTTAAATGTGTTTTTACACTAAAATTATGTTTAAAATATTTATATCTCATAAAGAAAAAAAAAATCGAACGGATCAAACAGACCTGTTCTGATTGGTCTGACTGGTTCTTTGCAGGCAATTTTTGGGTGGGAGCCAAACTAGCTAAGCGAGTAATTCCTAGTTCAACCAGCCGAGCGAATCTGATTTGATTTTTAAAACTATGGGTTCAGTGTCTCCCATATTTCTACTACTCAAGTTTGGTCAAGTTGCAACCCAGTGGTCATAATGTGGCTCGGGGTCGATTTTAATTAGTAAAAAAAATTATTAATTATATTTTCATGTAAAATCAATGTTTTAAATTACGTACCAACGATCATACTAGACGAGCTACCATTACGCAGATCCATCAGTATTATCGCCTACTTTACCAGTTTTAATAACTATTAATTTATTTATTATTATATTATGTAAGTATATAAAATGATATTTAATAAATACTAAAATTGATTAAAATTTAGTAATAATGTAAACGTATTAAAATTAAGTGTAGAACTTTTAATTATGTAAAAATAAATATAAAAAATAAAATAAAATTCTGTATATTTGATATTTTAACCGGTATTTTGCTGATATTTAGCAGCAAAATCTGTATTTTTTGGTATGGAACTGATAGTTTGCAAAAAAATTGTATTCAGAGGTTGTCGTACCGGTTGAACCAACGGCATCCGGTATAATTGATAATACCGGCGGATACGGTACGATACGCTATTTAAAACATGTGTAAAATGTTTCAATATTCTTCCATCTTAATATTTTTTCCCTGATAAAATGTAAGAAAACTTTCCTTAAGAGAGTACCCAACCCATGGACCATTTGCAAATTCTCAGTTGTTACTTTATTAACGCCTCTCCCCCAAAAAGTTACTCTGGCTGGGTT